ACGGTTGAAATCCCACCCTGTCCTCAGCTTGATGGCTCTGGACAATGAGCCCCTGGTTGCTAGGTCTCAGCTGTCTGTCCAGAGGCGTTGGTTGAAAGACAGCCTGGAACTATGGTGAGGACTAAGATCCCTAGTTCTAGCCCCAAGGGTAGGGCTAGCTACATAATTTTCAGGGCCCAGTGCAAAATGAAAATACAGAGCCCTTTATTCAAATATTATTGAGGATTTCAAGACAATGGCAAAACAACATTAAACTGAATTTTTTGTTGAAGCAAGATGGAGGATCAAGAGTTCATGCACTCATATCCTCAGACAGCAACAACATTAATAATTTGGAGCCATTCATGGACAAAAGTGCCTTTGTGGGAGCTTTGGGATCCAAGTAGGAAGTTTTTGAAATCCCAGTGGAGCCCAGGACCAAGAAGAGCCATTTTGAAAAGGCAGGTCCACACCCAGATAGCAGGCTCACCAGTTACGATCCCAGCCACAGATCTAGAAGCAGAACCATTCCCCTGTGAACTAAGCTAAAGCTCTATTTAATCTTGGTCCTGTCACTAACACCATCCACCAAGGAACCTTTGAGGAGCCAAACCCCCCTGTGCTGTGGGTAACAGGCTCACTGACCTCAGTATAGCTACAGACACTGAAGCAACCCTATGACTCAGTTCCAGCCCCTCTTAGATACAGTCCAAGGCCAGTCCTGCCTGCCTATTGACCTACTCAGTGACCTAGTAAGGGCCACAGCTGTCTGGGCAGCTGGTAAAAGACCCACACCTGTGAACCTAACTGCAGACTCCAAAACAGAATCTTGTCCTTGAAGCCAACCAAGGTCCTAGAAGCAGTCCCACTCATCCATGGATCAAGCAAAATCAACACCCATCTAAGCCCCTGGTAACAGACACACTAACCACAGACCCCGTTGCAGATCCAGCAGCAGGCATGTGACCTGGCTCCAACCCTATCAACTTTAATTGCAGAAGCAGTACTTTCAGCCTAGGGACCTGACAAGGGAAGGTCATTGCTGGCTGAAACCAGACAGTAAAAACTGGAAGAGATATTTGCTCCTTCAAAGGTGCAGACACCAACACAAGGTTACACAGGTCATTAAGAATCAGGCATAAATCACACCACCAAAGGAAACTAATAAAGCTCCAGGAATCAACCCCAAAGAAATGGAGATCTCTGACTTACCTGATAGATTATTCAAAACAACCATCTTAAAGCTTAGTGAGGTACAAGAGAAAAGCTAGACAACTAAACAAAATCAATAAGACAATGTATGAAAAACATGAGAAGAACAACAATAACAACAACAAAAAATTGAAAAAGAATGAAGAAAGCATTAAGGACTCATGGGACACCATCAGATGAATGAATTTATGCATTATAGAAGTCTCAAACGGAGAAGAGAGAAAGGCGCAGAAAGCTTATTTAAAGAAATAATAGCTGGAATGTTTCCAAATTTGGGAATGAATATGTTCATTCATATTTATGAAGCTCAAAATTTCCCAAGCGTAATCAAACTAAAAAAGATGCCCCAGAGACACATTAAAATCAAATTGTCAAAAGTGAAACACAAAGAGAATTTTGAAAACAGCAAGAGAAAAGCAACTCATTACAAGGGAAACTCAGTAATTGTCTATCAGTGAATTTCTCAGCAGAAGCCTTGCAGGTAAAAAAGGGAGTAGGATAATATATCCAAAGACTGGGGAGAAAATGCCAACTAAGAATACTAAACCAGGTAAAGTTATCTTTTAAAAGTAAAGGAGAGATAAAGACATTCCTAGACAAATAAAAGCTCAGAGTTCATCATTACCTCATAAAAAATGTTAAAGGGAATTCTTCAAGTTGAAATTAAAGAATGCTAAGTAACAACATGAAAACATATGAGTACAAAACTCATTGGTAAAAGTAAGTAGATAGTTGTATTCAGAAGTAATGTACCACATAACAATGTTTTGACTCACAACAAACCACATATATAATGGTGCTCCCATAAGATTATAATGGAGCTTTTAAACCATATTCTTACTGTGTCTTTTTTATGTTTAGATATCTCTAGATGCACAAATACTTACCATTGTGTTACAGTTGCCTATAATATTCAGTACAGTAACATGCTGTACAGGTTTGTATCCTAGCAGCAATATGTTATACCACATAGCCTAGATGCATAGCAAGCTATACCATCTCAGTTTGTGTAAGTACAGTCTCTGACATTTGTACAACAAAATTGCCTAACAATCATTTCTCAGACTATATCCCTATTATTAAGTATATGACTGTAGTCTAATATTGTAATATTTCTATATAAATCATTTTTAACTCTAATATAAAATTTAAAAGACAAAATATTAAAATATAGCTACAATAACCTGTTAATGGATACAGAATATGAAAATATGTAAAATGTGACCATAGCATAAAATGTAGGGGATTAAAAATGTAGAGTGTCTGTAGGCAATTCAAGTTAAGTTGTGACTAGCTATAAAATGTTTTACATAAGCCTCATGGTAACCACCAAAAAAAGCCTCTAATAGATACCTAGAGATAAAGAGAAAGTAATCAAAGCATGTTACTACAAAAACTCAACAAATCACAAAGGAAGACAACAATAGAGGAAAAGAAACAAAAAATCCACAAGACAGAAAACAATAACTAAATGGTGATAGTGTTTACTTTAAATGTAATTATTATGTAAATGCAAATGTATTGAATTATCTAATCAAAAACTAGAGTGGCTAAATGGATTTTAAAAACACAAGATCCAACAACATATTGCCTACAAAAGACTTACTTTAGATTTAAGGACAAACATAGGTTAAAAGTGAAGACAGAAAAAGATATTCCAAAATAACCAAAAGAGAGCAGGGCTGGCTATACTTATATGAGACAAAATAGATTTTTTCAGTCAAAATCTGTCACAAGAGACAAAAAAGATAACTATATAATTACAAAGGGATCAGTTCATCAAGAGAATATAGCAATGGCAAATACATATATGCACTCAACCTTGGAGCACCTAAATATATAGAGAAAATATTAACAGAACTGTGAAGGGAAAAATAGCAATATAATAATAGGAGAGACTTCAATATCCTGCTTTTATTCATGGATATATCATGCAGACAGAAAATTAACAAGAAAATAGCATAGTTGAATAAAGCTATAGATCAAATGGACCTAACCGATATATTGAGACCATCAGAGCATTCCATCCAAAGCAGCAGAATACACATTCTTCTCAAGCACACAAAGAACATTCTCCATATTCTAGTCCACAAAACAAGTTGTAACAAATATAAGAAGATTGAAATCATATCAAGTATCTTTTGTGACCATAATACTACAAAACTGCAGAAATCAATAACAGGAGGAAAATTGGAAAATTTGCAAATATATAAAAACTAATAGTATACTTATAAACAACGAGTTGAAGAATAAATCAAAAAGATACTTAAAAATCTTGAGGCAAATGAACAAATAAAAATGGAAACACAATATACCAAAACTTATGAAGTGCGAGAAAAGCAGTTCTCACAGGGAAGTTAACAGCAAAGAAAACGCAAACTATATATACATCTAGTTTGTATACTATATATGTATACATAGATAATGAGATATACATATATAATGAATAGTTTGTGCATATAAAAATACACATATATATAAACTATATAATGATACATATAGTTTGTGTGTGTGTGTGTGTGTGTGTGTGTATGCCTACATGAAGAAAAAAGATCTTGCCAGAGCAACCAGGCAAGATAAAATAATAAAAGGCAATTCAGTAAGGAAGGGGTGAAATGGTTTCTTTATAATGGCATGATCTCATATATAGAAAACCCTAAATGCACCACCAAAAAAACCTTTAGAAAGAAATGAATTTAGTAAAGTTGCCAGATACAAAATCAACATACAAAAAAAATCAGTTGCATTTCTATATACTAACAACAAACCATCAGAAAAAGAAATTAAGAAAGCCATGTCATTAATAATAGCACTGAAAAGAATGAAATACTTAGGAATAAATTTAACCAATGAGATAAAAGATCTGAATTAATACCGTTAAAATGCCTATATTACCTATAATGATCTACAGATTCAAAGCAATCCTTATCAAAATTCTAAAGGCATTTTAACAGAAACAGAAAAAACTGTTCTGAAATTCATATGGAGTCAGAAGAGACTCCAAATAGCCAAAACAATTTGAGTAAAGAAGCTGGAGGCTTTGCACTTTATGGATTCAAATTATGTCACAAAGCTTTAGTAAATAAAACAGGCATAAAAACATGGTACTGGCCTAAAAACAAACACATTAGACCAATGGAACAGAATAGGAGCCCAGAAATGAACTCATACATATACATTCAATTAATCTTTGATAAGAATACCAAGAAGACACAATGTGAAAAAGATAATCTTTCTAATACATGGTATTGGGAAAACTAGACATCCACAGGAAAAAGTATGAAATTTGACCCTTATACTGTGCACAAAAATTAACTCAAAATAGATTAAAGATTTCAATGAAAGACTTGAAACTATATATTCCTGGAAGAAATCATAAAAGAAAAGCTCCTTGATATTGACCAGAACAATGATTTTTTTGGATATGACATCAAAAGCACAGGCAAGAAAAGCAAAACTAAACAAGTGGGACTACATCAAATTAAAAAGCTTCATCCAGGCTCAGTGGCACATGCCTCTAATCTCAGCACTTTGGAGGCCAAGGCGGGCGGATCACAAGGTCAGGAGATCAAGACCATCACAGACAACATGGTGAAACCCCGGCTCTATTTAAAATTCAAAAATTAGCTGGGCATGGTGGTGTGCACCTTAGTTCCAGCTGAAGAAGGAGAATCACTTGAACCTGGGAGGCAGAGGTTGCAGTGAGTAGAGATTGCCACTGCACTCCAGCCAGGCAAAAGAGCAAGACTCTATCTTAAAAAAAAAGCTTCTACACAGCAAAGAAAATCAACAAAATGAAAAGGCAAAGGCAACCTACATAATAGGAGAAAATATTTGCAAATCATATATATAAGGGGTTAACATCCCAAATATATAAAGAACTCCTACAACTCAATAGCAAACATACACACACACACACACACATACACACACACATAATTTAAAAATGGGAAAAGGACATGAATAGACATTTTTCCAAAAAAGACATACATATAACCAACAGGTATATGAAAAGGTTCTCAACAACACTAATCATTTGGAAACTGCAAATTAAAACCACAATGAGATGCCACCTCACACCTGTTTGGATGGCTATTATCAAAAAGACAAGCAGTAACAAGTATTGGCAAAGGTGTGGAGAAAAGAGAGCACTTGTACACTGTTGGTGGAAACGTAAATTGGTACAACTATTATGAAAAACATGGTGTCCTCCTTTCCTTTTTGCTGTAGGCCTGAGGAGTTGCTGCCAAAATGGGCAAGTTCATGAAATCTGGGAAGGTGGTGCTTATCTTGGCTGGATGCTACTCTGGATGCAAAGCCGTCATCATGAAGAACATTGATGATGGCACCTCAGATCGCCCCTACAGCCATGCTCTGGTGGCTGGTATTGACAGCTATCCCCACAAAGTGACAGCTGCCATGGGCAAGAATAAGATCACCAAGAGGTCAAAGATCAAGTCTTTGGGAAAGTTTATAACTACAATCACCTAAGGCCCACAAGGTACTCTGCGGATATCCCCTTGGACAAAACTGTCGTCAGTAAGGATGTCTTCAGAGAGCCTGCTCTTAAACGCAAGGCCCAACGAGAGGCCAAGGTCAAATCTGAGGACAGATACAAGACAGGCAAGAATGAGTGGTTCTTCTAGAAGCTGCAGTTTTAGATGCTTTGTTTTGGTCATTAAAAATTAAAAAGAAAAACATATGGAAGTTCTCAAAAAATTAAATAAATACAGAACTGCTGTATGATTCAACAATCCATTTCTGGGTATATATCCAAAGGTAATCAAGTCAGTATCCTGGTATCTGCACTCCCGTGTTAATTGCTATATTATTCAAAATAACTAAGACATGGAAGCAATCTAAGTGTCCATTAATAGATAAAGAAAATGTGGTGTGTATATATATAAGGAAATATTATTAAGCCATACAAATGAAGGAAATCCTGCCGCCTGCAACAATATGGAGGAAGCTGGAGAATTATGCTAAGTGAAATAAACCAGACACAGAGAGAAAAAGACTGTATGACTGTCTTATATGTGAAATTGAAAAAAGTCAGACTCACAGATGCAGAGAATGGTGGTTGCCAGGAAATGGGGGTGAGAGTGGGAGACAACAGAGATGTTGGTCAAAGTGTACAAACCTTTTCAGTTGTAAGACAAATGAGTTCTGGAGATCTAATGTATAGCACAGTGACTATAGTTAATAATACTGTATTGCATACTTGATATTTGCTATAAATAGATCTTAAGTATTCTTAACACATGCAAAAAAGGGTAACTGTGAGATGATGGATTTCTTATTAACTTGATTGTGGTAATCATTTCATTATATATGTATATCAAATTATAACATTGTACACCTTAAATATATACAACTTTTTGTCAATTATATCTCAATAAAGCTAAAGAGGGGAAAGAAGAGCATTAAACCAACATGGGACCTCTGAGTGTGGCCTCCTGCTATGCACAGGTTACTTGCTCATGAAGCCGGCCTGCCCAGGAGCTTTCTTTTCACCATCCATCCCACCTCAAGAACTATCCATTTCACATCCCAAATGTTGCTTGAAGCCATCTGCTCCCTCTGTCTCCATGTCACTGCTGCAGTCTAAGCTGCCACCCACATACACTCCCTGACCAGCTGCAACTCTTCTGGTTCCCTCCCTCCTGCTCTCCACACAGCAGCCAGTTACCTTTGAAAATGGCACATGTGATAACATCACCTTCTGTTGGAAATGGTTTAATATCTTCTCCCTGCCCCTGGGGTAAAGGCCAAATGCTTTAACATGGCCCATGGTCCAGTCCCAGATGATCAGGTCAGCCTTTATTTACAGCACACTTCAAGTTCTCCAAGCTTCAGCCACTGCCCACACAGCCCTGGCCAAGTTACTGCTTGATCATGTCTCATATCCCAGCAAATCTACCACGTTCTCCAAGCTCCTTCAGGGTCTCTTGTAATACTACAGATCTCTCCTTAGCACCTTCCAAATGTGTGATTTTACATATGTTTGTGTGGAGTTTTGATTAATGCCTGCCACCATGGGCAGAAGCTATGTCTAATTGTATTCACCATATTCTCCATGCCCAGCACATTGTGTGTACACCATTCATATGGTGAATGAGTTAACTAATGAACCAATGCTTCCCACATACACAAAAATCCCAGACTGATAGCATGTCCAGTCATTCCACCAACTGCAACATGATGATGAGACTACGTTCCTTGAACAGATGTTGTGAAGATTAACTGAGATTGTGTATGAAAAGCACTTGACACTAGAGAGATGTTCAATAAATGTCTATAAGATATTTTTGAAGGGACATTGGGAAGCCTGTGGTAGGGGGAAATCAAGGGAGCCCTTCTCTCTTTCCATCCCTTCCCCTGGAATCTGGGATTCTAGAAAGAAATTTTTAATTAATTTATTATTATTAATTTATTTCTACTGTCTTAGAAATATAATTTATTTCTACTGGCAAAGCACTATTTCAGGCCCCTGGGACTCCACCATGAGTAAGAAAGATAAAGCCTTATTAAAGATTTAATGCAGTTCTCTTTCCTGAGGGAAATGATAAAGGGATCTCTGGGACTACCTTGGGTTGCAAAATACTCCTAGGCCAGGCAGGTGGGAGACAGGGTGGTTGAAATCCAGGCACAGCTACTTCCAAACCCAGATCACATTCTTCTACACCAGATTGCCTTTTAGGAAGAATGCTTAACATAAATGAACTAATTTTAGCCTAAATTAAGTTTAATCTGAATCTTGATTTTAATCTAAATTAACCGTTATCATCAAAGAGCCAGGTGGACACCCACCTTGCCCATATGCACAGAGCTGCCACAGACATTGCCCAACTCTCTTGATCCTGAAAAGCTTCTACAAGTTCAGACTCAATTAAAAGATTGTTAAGTGGCCTGATCAACTGAAACAGAAGCAACACTGCCTCTCCCTGCCAGGCCTTGCACAGGGACAGAGAGAAGCACAAGGACTGCTGAGGACCTTCCTGACCTGCCTTACCTTTCACTTGCCCTCTCAGGCTGGGTTTGCGGTGCCAGGGACCTCTCTCTCGTAAAGGCAACTGGGCATTGTGTAGTCCCCACCAACAGCTGCCCAGTGTATCTAGAGAGGGGATGACCACAACTAACATCCAAATGAGGCTCCAGGCAGCAGAGAACTGATAGTCAGTGCCAGACTCCTGTAAGGTTGCATAATTCAGTCTGCAGGAAGCCAAACATCCTTTAAAAAGAAGACCAATCATAACAACTTCCTGCATTTGTCCTGCTGTTGTTCCTCCTCGGAGCACATTCCAATCTATTAGCTTGTTAGAACTTCAAAATCAACCCCATGATATCCATAGGCAGGAATCATTATCCCCATTCTTTAGGAAAGGAAACTGAGACTCACGGAATAATTACCAATAGTAGCAGCATGGCAATCATTACTGAGTGCTTACTGTGTGCAGAGAGCTTTGCATAAACTATCTGAATTAAATTCTGGGAAGTAAATTTTATTATTATCTTCATTCTATAGATAAGAAGTCAGAGGCTGGGGAAAGTCAAATAATTTGTTTCAGTTTACGCAGCTAGAAAATACCAGAGCCTTGATTTGAACCAGGTTTTCTTGACTGCAAAAGTTGTACAATGGGCTAGTATGCCAGACATATCCCAGAAATGATCTGTCTTAGAGGTGCTACTCCAAGTCCACAGTAGCAAGAATACTTTCATTTCCAGGTCCCACCCTTCAACTAGGCTAAACCTGCTGCCAAGCTCCTCTTTCGGACCCCACATCAATCCTCAAGTCTGTGAACTCACAATTCTCAGGAAAGTAGGGCCCAAAGCATAATCTGCATACCCATCTTTCCTGGAAAATGCTGCTGCCACTCTGATAAGTTCATGAAGCTGTTTAATAGAATACAATTCTGGCTTTGAGGAATTTATAGCCCAGTGGGATCCCTTCCACACAAACCAGGTATATGAACTCCCATCTTTGCAACAGGCTTTAACAACACAACACAGCTTCCACTATTGGCCAGGCACTGTTTCAGACCCCTTGGACTCAGCCATGAGTAAGGCAGACAAAGTCCCTGTCCTCATGGAGCTTACAACCTAATGGAAGAGATAGCATAAATAAATATTCAAATAAGATATTAATATAGCAGCAGGAGGTGTTAAGTACTCTGAAGGAAAATATCAAGGCAAAGAGATGGAGGTAGATGGGCTGCTATTTGAGATGTGGTGGCCATGGAATGTTGCTAATCAGCTGCTGTAGAGATTTTCCTGGATTATATGGGTGGGCCCCAGGTAATCACAAGGATCCTTATAACTGAAAGGGGGGTGGAAGTAGAGTCAGTGTCAGAATCAGAGATCTGAAGGTACTACACTGAGGGCTTTAAAGATGGAGGAAGCCAAGCCACAAGCCAAGAAATGAATGGTCCTAGAAGCTGAAAGAAACAAATTCCGCCCCCAGGGCCTCCAAAAGGATGTAGCCCTGTCAAAACCTTGATTTTATTCCAGTGAGATCCATTTCCAATTTCAGAACTATAAGACAATAAATTTATGTTATTTCAAGCAATCATGTTTGTGAAACTAATACGCTAACCATCAACACAATCAACATTGTGTTGATCAACATTAGAATATTTTTTAATCACTTAATGGTTCATCCATGTTGTAGCATGTATCAGGATTCCATTTCTTTTTATTATCAAACACTATCTAACTGCATGGATGTATAATATTTCATTTATCCATTCACCAATTGGTGGATATTTGGGGTATTTCCACTTTTTGGTTATAATGAATACTGCCACTATGAACATTCATGAACAAGCTTTCATAAAATATGTATATAAACATATATTTTATACATTATGTAGATGGACATATACCTTTATTTTTATTGAGTGTATACCTAAGAGTGGTACTATTGGGTCATACGATAATTCTATGTTTTATCTTTTGAGGAATTGGCAAACTGTTTTCCAAAGTGGCTGCACCATTTTATATTTCCCCTAACAATGTATAAAGATTTCAGTTTCTCAACATCCTTGTTGAGAATTTTTTTTTATTATAGCCATCTTAGTGGATGTGAATTGATATCTCATTGTGGTTTTGATTTTTATTTTTCTGATGGATCATGATGTTGAGCATCTTTTCATGTGTTTGTTAGCCATTTGCATATCTTCTCTGGAGAAATGTCTATTAATCCTTTGCCCACTTTTTAATCGGGTTGTCTTTTAATTGTTGGATTGTAAAAGTTTTTATATATTCTCAATAAAGTTTCTTTCAGATATATGACTTGTTAACACTTTGTTCTATTTTATGGGTTATCTTTTCACTTTATTGATGGTGTTCTTTAAAGCACCAAAGTTTTTCTTTTTAATAGTTTAATTTATTTATTTTTCCCTTGGTTGCTTGTGGCTTTGGTGTCATACCTAAAAAACTATTGCCAAATCCAAAGTAACAAAGATTTATGACCACATTTCTTCTAAGAGCTTTGCAGTTTTTGTTTTTACAATTAGATTTTTGATGCATTTTCAGTTAATTTTTTGTATATGGTATGAGGTAGGAATTTAAACTCATTCTTTTGCATGTAGATATCCAGTTTTCCCAGAACCATTTGTTGAAAAGATTCTTTTTCCATGGAATGGTCTTGAAACCCTTGTAGAAAATCAACTGACCATAATTATGATGGCTTATTTCTG